ATGGCTTGTCTATATCGTATACATACATATATATTATTCATACCTTCGGTGTATAGGGCGCAAGCAGATTTTGACATCAAGTTTTGGGGTAAAAAAAGTGCATCTTATACACCGAAAAATACGGTAAGTCTGTCAAAATCATTCTTTAATTAATAGCTTCTCATTTTACCATATATGACATATATGGTAATATCTCAGGTTACAGAACAATCTTATAAATCTCAGCTGTGTGAAAAAGACCGAGATATCATTTTTTAGCAGATAAGCTGATTATATTTAATTGTTTGGTTAATATTAGAAATAATCCAAAATAGGTTTGTTTGTCAAATATATAACCCACTTCAAAATATTTCCACGAAACATTATGTATTACAATTACAGTAGAATATCAAAATAATATTAAATTTAAAAAATGAAATAAACAGATAAACATAAGTCAAAATATTTATTAATCTCAAAGTAAAAACATGTAATCTCAAGATTTAGGCAATAATAACTAATAGTGAAATATGTATAAAGCATATTAAAATATATATTAAAAAATGTCTTAATTTATTAAATGCATATATTAAGTAGATATTTAGATATTAAAGGAGTAATAAAGGAATTTCTTTGGTCATATTGTTAAAGCATAGCAGTATACCATTATGCATTTAATTTAGATTTTGAAAACAATAAAATATAAACAATATTATTAACTGATATAGGTTAAATATGAAGAAACAAAGAAGCACTTGCTTTATTTAAAAACAAGTAGATAATACAAAAAAAATGTTCTAAGATCAAAGTTACCTGTGTAAGTACACATATAATAAAGAAAAATACAGAAAACTAATACCATGGTATGAATTCATGAACAAAAAACTTGAGTTTTACAACCAACACCGTTTCCATGTAGTAATGAAAAACTGATTAGCCGCAAGGGAATGACAAAAATTTTGGAACAGTGATTTAAATCATGAAGGCACAGGTGAAGATATTGGTTCTTTACATTTACAGATAATTTTAGTAAAATGGCAGCAAATTTATCTCATTTTTACACATGTATACCAGAAGTACTGTGGTAAATTTTAAAGTTTTCTGTCCTGTAACTATTTGCAACAAATGCATATCATATAGTAGTTACTATGATCATTGTAAACAGTAGTTACTATGATTTTTACTAAGTTTATATTACACAAAATTAAGCAAAATAAAAAGTAGCAACACATAATAATTCACAAGAATATTCTGTAAAAATCTAACAATACTCAAAAATGGTTTTAGTTTTCTATTTTCTAGGAAAAACTACTAAACTTGTTCAAAAGCAACTTAGAAAAGTTTATATTAAAATTTATCTTCAAATAAAAAAAGAACTAGTTCAATATATTAAACATGCAGTATTGAAAATAATATTCTTGTAAGTTTCTACTTATTCAACAAGGTTGAAAAATACAGATCTATACAAATGAAACCTAAGGCAATAATTACATTATAATGGTTCACAAAACATGATTGTTCCAAGTTACCTAAATAACATCCATGAATGAATTGCTGATTTTATTTCTCTCTCTTAAAAAGAAACAGTTAAAATAGTTAAAAGTCACTTCAAAAGCAGAAGAACAGACAACATCAGTGTCTCACATCAAACAGTTCATCATCACAAGTATGGAAGACAGGTAGTAGTACCTTTCACTATACACCTGGTACCACTAAGAAGTGATAGTGTCTGCTACAACCAGAGATGTGGGTGTGGTTACTGTTCTCTTCACAGAGTGACTGCAGCCATTCTCTCCATGTCCCTGAATCTTAGATGCTGGTTCAATGAGGTTTTCCTAATAGAAAAATACCAGGATGATTAATAATACCAAAACATGCTACCAAGTTATATTTTAAAACATTTTTGTAATAATTACAGGATGTAATTTTTTTCTTAATTTATGCAAAAATCATGTATAAATATTAATTGCTTACATCAGTCTTACCTTTGGCATTGTACGTTTATGCTGTCTGGGAGTTCCATTTACTGGGTCTGGTTGTTCATATTCATATTGTCTTCGGTGCATGCTATCCACATAGGCAAGGTACCATACTCCGGGAAACAGGTCTTCCACTTTACCAACAGGACTGTAAGGAGCTAAATTAAAACTTACAAATGGTATGAATGAGAGCAATATCAGTAAAATAAACAATTTTTTGTTCTTCACCTTACTCAACATTGGGCCAGACCCATTACATTATTTTATCTGAATTAAGAGATTTCTTTTTAAAAAATCAATAATAAAATAATCCTTCAAGTAGATTAAAGAGATGATCTCAGAAACATTACTATATTTATGACAAGTTATCTTAATCTGGTATAAATATACCAAAAAGATAAATTTTTGTGTATAAATGCCAAAATTGTGTATTTCATTTCAAAAGTCTTGTTAGATCACTGTGAAATTTCCACTTTTCTATTTTTTCCAATAAACACTTACTTTCAGAGGTGATGTGTAGATGGACTTTGCAACAAAAGTTCACAACTTCAGTTTTTAAAGATATATGTTTATCTAGCCCATGTGAGAAGTTCAGTGATAATCATTACACCACCAAAAATATGCTTAAACTCAAGAGTTCTGGATACATTTTCTGGAGAATATTATAGTATCTAATGATTAAAAAATATTTGGACTAAATTATATATTATTCTGTATTATAATGGTTATGTTCTAATATACTGTGTATCAAATGTCCATAAAATTTATTGTATCATGTAAATGATCTGGGAAAACATCCCGATTCTTTATCAACACACAAACTAACAAGTTTAGTTCATATTACAAACTGACAATATCAATAGTAACGCATGTATATCTTAACACTGATAGTGTTTATTGCCTACTTTGTATTAAAACAACAACAACAATACACACACACACACACACACACAACAAAAATATTCACAATTTGTTTATCATGGATGATTTAAGAACAGTATTTAAAAGGAAACAAGTTTTATTTTTTGTAAACCAACCATATCACATTATAAACACCACATGCACACTAATGATGTGAGCAATGTGGGGAACAAGATATTACTTTTCCACAAGATGTATGATGCATTTCCTGTTCCATAATATTCATCCTGCCAGGTGTCATTTTATAAGTCCAAATTCACACTGCTTACAGCAACTTTAAGATCATCAATTGTCTGGAAATGTCTTGCATATAGTCTGTCTTAAAAGGACCTAAAATGATAGAAGTCCAGGATTTTAGGTCAGAACTATATGAATGGTAGGGAAGGATCATCGATTCAAACTTCTAAATTACAGTGGTGGATAGAAGATGAACAATACTGGACCCAAAAGTATTAATGTTGCCTGAGAACATCTTGCATTTTGATGACAGGATACTCAATAACTAATAGAAACACGCTTCACTGGTGTCTTAGTGCATATGTGGCACTTGGCAATTATGAAAGCATCAGGTGGTTGCAGACAATCAATACTACAAAATCAACAACTCATTTTGTAATTGTGTTTTATACCAATTACAGTAGAAAAATGTAATGCAGGATACCTTGAGCATCAAATGTTTTATCACTCATCAACACTGCTACAATTAACTTGTATCTAGTGCATTAAAATGAAAACTCCAGTTCTGTCTGAAAACACTTTGTAATTAGTTTAAAAACTGAAGAGTTATTAACCATAACATGTGTATATACAACTTTAAAAATCATTCTTGCTGTATCTAAGTTCTTACGAAATGTTTACTGAAGAAAGCAAAACAAATGTATGCAAACCTTGATGATGAGTCTGTTCTCGAAGCTTTAAAATGGATGTAAATTCTGTAGGACTAACTTTCTTTCTTAATTCTAAATAGTTCAGCTGGTCCTTCAAAGCTGTATGTAAGCTCTCCAACAATTTGGCATCAGTAGTGACTATGATGGAAAACATGCTAGAGGCTAAGCCTGACCCATATGAGAACATGCCTACTCGCTTTCCAAGTAAATCACTGATGGAAGATCTGTAAAAATAATAAATATCTAGGATGTTTTCAAAATATATTATACTGGATGCTAACTTTCTGAAGAACTGAAATTGGAACATACATAGAAAATATTTCAATATGCAATGATAAACAAGTAAACAAAAGTTTTGAGATGGCTTGACTGGATAATGAAAAAACTATTATAACTGTACGGCAAAATTTTGTCGAAACGTCATACAGTTATAATATAGTTTTTTTCATTACTCAGTCAAGCCATCTCAAACTTTTATTTTCTTAAAAGTGGGTTCCTTGTTATCAAGAGTTAAACAAGTAAACTTTAAATAAAAAACTAAAATAGACAGTAAATAAATAATATTCAAAAACATGTCTCACTTACATAACATGTAAATTTTGAATGAGTTTCCAGATATCCAATCCTTAATACTCAAGTGCACTTGACTTAACATAAACACAGAAACTGGCAAATGCATTCAAGCCCAAAACAAAATTGTGAAAGACAAAAGTAACATTTTCAAGTACCATGGACAAAGGAAACTTTGGTCCATAGTTTTTGTACATCAAAATTTAAACTTGAATTTACATCAGTGTTATATTTTGTTGTTTGTTTATGTGTTTTTTTCTGATGTTTCATCAACTACCTACTTGTAATTTTTTAGTGTTTCTTTCTATAGGTTCAGCAAATCAATCAAATTTTAAAGTACCTACTCTCAACTTGAAACTACCTAATCTTAACAAATGGCTTTCGAATAAATTAAAAGTCCATATTATGTTTTAAGTACAACATATATTTATGAAAAACATTTTTGAAACTGTTTGCATTCTATAATGACACAAATACAGAGAGTAATAATAAAAATAACATTATACTCTTTAGTAGCCATAATATTACTAGACATTTTCACAGCTTTCAACATATTAGATAAGGTTAAACTTCATTTATGTTTAAGTAAGAAATTTGTATTTGAATGATGGCTTTTAAGTATGTTTGCTAAAAATTTACTACAACAAAAAACTTCCTCTTCAACTTTAGACTAACAAACCTGACTATATATGAAGCCAAACATCCATACAGACATGGTGTATACATATTCCCCACACGATTGGCAAGCAGAAGGCCAGGCTGGGTTTTCTTCTCAAACAAGGGCTTACTGAACTCCACAAAAGCTCTCTCTACGTCTTTATTAAAATATGTTTCTTGAAGTTTCAGATGACTGGGAAAAAATTAACAAGAACAATAAATTCTGAATAGTTTCAGAAAATCATATAAACAACTCACCAGAGATGACATCTTAACTAAATGTTCAGAAACAATACAATGATCTCAAAAATCTGATAAGACAAATTAGAAACTTTACTGCATTTAAAACAGTAATTATAAAGAGTGATTACACTTTTTCTGACCCAAAATATTTTTTGATTTTAAGAACAAAATATATATTATAGTATTTTTACTTTTGAAATAAAATGCACTAAACATTATATTTCAAACACAATTTAGTATAAAACAAAGTGTAGAAATTAATTTTATCATGTACAAGAAATAAAAACCAACAGGTGATCCTGACACAAAAAACATTTGTATCTCTTTGTTATCTCCAATTATGACATTCAAAAAATGACAAAATGCTCCCTTTTTTCATCTAGACTCTTTTTTATTTTTTTTAGCTGTTAGAGAAGACAAAAGCCCCATTTAAAAGTACTCAAGGTTTTATGTTGTTTTTTTTCTGGTGGATTTCTATGATCGATTAGTAATGGTTCTGAGTGTTTGTTATTTCAAAAATACTACCTCGGGTTTAGACAAAGTTTGTGTGTGTTATTTTTGTTCTAGTTCTAAACACTGGAACAATGTACCTGAATGTTTCCATGGTTTTGTACTTTTCACTATCAACATTTCTTACAAAATCATTGAGAACAAGCCTTGCAAGAGCTTTCTTCACTAGTTTACAGTAAGGAGCATGAAACAGAATGATGTCTAGATCATCAATAGTGAACTCTTTCCAATTACCTAACAGATAGGAAAAAAAAAAAAAAGAGATAAATATTAGTGATCCAAGTTGAATAACTAAATTCATACGTGACACATGTGTACAGTACAACACTAGGTACCTGAAATAATGCACATACACACACAAAATAAATTGCATTAAACAAGTTGTATAAACAGTTTTTAAGGTATATACATGTTCATGTAGCCATATCCATATTAATTAATTGAAAAATCTGCATATAATAGTAGTGGTAATTAATTACTATTACATAAGAAAGGAACTTTTTAAAATCTTAATTTCTAACAAATGTATATCTAATATCACATGTGTATGTTAAGATACTGATTAGTTTAAATTACAAGTAAATTAATTGTGTATAACAAACTCACCAATTTCCTATCTTTTAAGTCTAAACAAAATACCTAAAAATTAAAAACATGCACATTTTAATTAATAATAAATGATGAAACATAAAAACTGTCTAAATCATCATAGCATAGAAACTGTATCTTATGTTTGAATATACCTTCAGCAAAAGTACAAATAACAACATATTTGGTAATAAACAATTAAACTCTTTCCAATAACTAATTCTATTATAGTTCACTATTTAATTAACTTTTTTTTATATTAATAGTTAATTATTTTAAGAAAAGATTATTGCATTAAAGGAGCTTTCTAGAAACAGTAAATGCATTAAAAGTACAGTCATAAACATGTCAAACACAACGTTAGAGAAAACACAGTGCTTAAGTTATCAAAAAGTGTCTATTGATAAAGTAACATATTTGAAAACTAGTTTATAAAAATAACTTCACATTCTACCTGTTTTTCCCAAAGCTTGAGCCTTTCTACAAAATAATTGGTAACACTGATCTAAAGCTTGAAAGTAACACTGGATGGCTAATTTTCCATCAACTCTTGGAAACTCTGAGAGCAAGTCAGGTTTATAGAAGTCATACACATGAGCCATGTGTGTAGCTCGCATTCCTAGAAAAATGTAAATGTTCATTATTATACATGTATCACATGAATAGTATATATATTCTAAGAATATTTAGTGTGTATAAATCATAAAGGTAAATTGTATAATTAGGAATTACATTTTAATGTATTTAAACCTGTATCACAGATTTGAAAACCAATAAATATAGGTAAATTTCAATAAAACATATATATACACATGTACCCTGACCACAGCATTAAGTCCTAAAAATATATAATTTAAATATACTTTGCCACTTTCATTGTTAATACTTCCAATGACAGATATAAACAGCATTTCAATTAAGATTTTTATGCTATAATGAGAGCTTGTTGATTAACTCAATGAATTGCATTGATTAATGTTTTGTACCTATTATTACTCCATAAGAGAAATTAGTGAGCAGAGAATATACAGTATATTAGTATACTCATTACAGTATTAAAAGCAAAAACACTGAGAAACACCAATTTTAAGGTATCTAAATAAACCTATAAAATAGCTAAAAATAAACACTGAAAAATAGAAGCCATAACCATAAGTTAACTATGGCAATATAACAGGTGGTAGATAAACTTGTATCATAATCTAAAAATGACATCACAATGTCATTGTATGTTAGTTTCCATATCGGAGAACCATGAAAATTATGTGGCCAAAATTAACCTTAAAATATTTCCTCTCTAATTAATGCTTAGTTTTACCTCGTTCAAAAGTTAAAGCAGCACCTGGTCCCACAAGCATGGCAATAGCCCCAGCACCTCCTGTTGGACGAGCATTACCACTAGCATATACTGCAATATCAGCAGCAACAACAACAGCATAACGACCTAAAAATATTTAGTTTACTTTAGCACTGACCTATTACTTTATAGCAAAAAGTTTCTTAATTTGTATACACTTGTTATGTCATCAGTGTAGTGAAACATCAATCCTATCAACTGTATAACAAACATAACATAAAATAAGTTTTATTTTTAAAACGTATTATGCCACATGCATATATATAAACCATTCAAGAATATCATACTGATGAAACTTGGAATCAAATTCTGCCAATCAACTGAAAAAGGAAATCTTGAAAAAAAAGAGTTTTTAAAGCTAAAGCAAATACAAAGCTTTCAAAAATATAATGCTTTATAAAAATAGACTGAGCTTTAGGTTTAGCTCTAAGCATGAAACATAAGTTTTTCTGCTTATTTGAACTACATGGATAACATTGGGGATTAAATGACAGCCAAGTATGGAGGAGTCTTCATTTGCAGCACTTGCAAATACTAACAAATGCCATTAATCACCCAGCTTTAGTCAAGATAATGTGAAAATCATTTGGAAAGCGTAAATTAAATGATACGGAAACCTTGTTCAAATGAAACATTTTCATTTTAAAAAGTAGGAAAGCGATTAATAACAGTAAGTTGCACCAAACTCAAGAGCACATGTTGACTATTTAACTATATATATATATATATATATATATATATAT